GCTCTAAGGATCTCATTTATCTTTTGTCTGTTGATCTTTGAAAATTGATTATTATATCAAAACATAGTACAAATTAAGAAAAAATTGCAAAAATACTTCCATTGGTGTCTTATAATATTAATAAAATGATATTTGTATAAAAAGTTACGCAAATATAAAGATATTTTTAATGCTAAGTATAATGACACAAAAGGTAAATGTAACCCTTAGATGCGGATGCAGAAAGTAATATTTATATTATGTGTCCCAATTTAATTAGTACACATGTCAAAAGGACACAGATGTTGGTGAGCAAAAATCACTTCTTTTTCTATATATCTTTTTAAATGATGATGTCAATGGCGATGCGCCAGTTGTGGATGGTTTTATAAGTCAACATTTTTAAAATTGGATGAAGTATGATCCTTTTTATTTTGCCGGTTTCAAATACTCTCTCCGTCTCATATATGATGATCCTTTTAGTTATGAATACAGTTATTTAGATACGGTAGATTAGTAAATTAATAATAATAAATTATGATATTATTTTATTATTTTTATACTAGTAATATTGTTAGTATTTTAAATATTTATAGCATCATATCCCAGTAAAATATATAAAATATGGATTTTATTTTGTAAATAATAAAAATAAATAGAAATATATATTTATATTTAACTTAAAATTAATTTTATAAAAAATGAGAAATTTTAAATATAGATAAAAAAATATATAGTTATTGAAGAGAGATATAGAAATAAAGACGTTTTGAGTTTATCCTACTTGTAAGATATTAGAAATTTAATTAAATTAATTTATATTTTTTAAATATATTTAAGATGAATAAATTTAGTGAAAATATAAATGAGTCATCTTTTATAGGATGGACAAAAAAAGAAAAAGGGTCACTTGTGCTAGAATGGATGGAGTATGATTTTCTAGAGTAATCGATTAAATTTTGTTACAAAAAAATATTATTTTAAAGTGAATATTTACATATTTTTTACAAAAACAATAAGATCTAAAATCGTTTCATGAAATAATGCAAACCGATTTTGTTTTTTTTTTTTTTTTTTTTTGTGGGTCTACATACCAACCACACAACTATTGTGTTTGATCATTCGGATGAATTTAAGGTTTCGCATTGTATTATTGAAAGTCCACAATTCCTCGACTATTTCGAGCATTGATTCAATACTTTCTGTGTGCGATTATTGATATGTTGAATGACTAATATGATCATGCATGTATCTTTAGAATATGATGTTGAGAAGGTATAGATGATGTAATAAAAATTAGACAATAAGTTACTTTGTCAATATATTAAAAAAAATAGAAAAAAACTTTTGGCATTTCACTACAAGAAAAAATCATTTTTGTAACAAAAATTTTTTGTTTCTAAATTTACTTTTTCCGTTACTAATGACATTAGAGACGGAATTAGGAATGGAATTACGTTAGCTACGTGAACTTTAGGGACGGAATTCCGTAACAAATATATTATTTCTTTGTAGTGCTTACACTTTTTAGAATGTTATCTTCGTCCATGTCATATTGGAATTCATTGGAATGCGCATTATTTTGTTCCATCTTATTTCACGCTCGAAGTTCTTTATTATATATATATATATATATATTTTTCCAATGAACATCCGCGGAGAATATGAAGTTCTTTTTTTTTTTTTTTTGGCTATATGAACTTATCCAGATTCATCACAAAACTACTAGAATAATTGCTAAGGATAATTGATATGAAATTTATTTTATTGCAAAACAGCTATCACTTTTGCTATAAACTACCTGGGTAGTCGTAATTTGAATAAATTGTGATGGAATAATTCCTATGAAATTTATTAATCACAAATCTACTAGAATAATTGCTACGGATATAATTATTGGACTGTTTATTTGTCACAAAACTAAACTTAAAACCCTATCCATGTAATAGATTTTAATGAGACTTGATCAAACGGTTCGTTTAATAAAATTTTGTATTATTATAAAAAAAATACTTCTTTTATCATGTGAAATTAGTCAACTTTCTTTTCGGCACGCAGTTTAAGAAATATTGTGTTATTTAGTTAATTATTTGATTAGTTGATATAATAAAGTGTTATATTAAGGGTGTGTTTCTTTAGGGGGTTTTGGAAAATTTGGGTTAAGATTTGATTTTTATTTGAATTTTGAGTTGACTTTGAATTTTGATTTTTCTTTTGTATTTAGATTTGATTGGGGTTTGGAGAGTTTTGATATGATTGATTTAATGAATAATAAATATAATAAAATAAATGTGTATTAATTTGTATAATTTAATTATAAATTTATATTATATCTACATATATATTTCTAAATTTTTATTTATCTGTATTATAAAAAAATTTATTTTCTACAAGATGACATATATAACGTATATATTTTATTAAATTATACATATTATAAAAATTTAAGTTTACATATATAATTTAAATTAAAAACAAATATGTCAGCTCTGTGCACAGAGCTTGTCGGGGCAGTAAAAGAGGCCCGGTTCGGCGCCTAAACCCGGGCAACAGTGGCCATATAGTAGTTTTGGCCAAAATTACATTGAAAAAACATACCTAAATAGTTTTTATTTTATAAAATATTAAAGTAAAAGTAAAAATATTTTTTATTTTAAAAATATTGAATTTTTTATTTCCTAAAATCATTTTAAAATAATAATAATTATATATATTGTAATTTATACACATGCAATTAGATGAAAATAATTTAAATAATTTAAATGTAATTGATACAACAAAAAATGTAACAATAAAATTTTTTTATAAACATTACATAAAATTTTTCGAATTTGGTTGTTAGAAATAATTGATTATGACATACCAAATTTAATACCACATTGTATACGGTACCAAAACTTTTGGTATGATATTTTACCGTACGTTACGGTACAAGTATTTTGATATACCGAATTTACGAATAAAAAAAATATTGAATTACGGAGATAACATGCATACTCGTAGAAAAAAAACACGAATTTTTTTTTCAAATTTTCAGTACGATATGACTTTTTTTGTATGATAACGATATACAATTAGATATTTTCAAAAAATATAGAAAAATATGGTATTTTTTTATATACCGATTATTTGATACAATATCGATATTTGTTTTAATAAATTCACAAAATTGGTAGGGTATACAATATAGTTCGATATTTTCAGTATATTGTCTAAAACCATCTATAACTGAATTGTAAACACGGTATTAGAATATAATCATCAAAATACTAAAATTAAAAATAAATTTATAATTTTGCATGATAAATAAGTTTTATTTTTTATTTTTTTAACAAAGAAAAAAAATCAAAATCAAATCTCATTTCTAATTAAATTTCCAACCATAAATTATAAATTAAACATCAATTTTTTTTAATATTATATTAAAATTTAATTTAAAAAATTTAAAATTGGATAAATACTTATTTATATTATATTAAATATTTAATCACTTCGTCCCACTTAATTTTTTTTTTCACATAAATTTTTTGGAAATATAATTATACATTTTAGTCACATTTTAAAATAGTCATTTTAATCTATATTATTTTTATTAAATCATAATTATTTTTTCTAATACACTTATTAATTACTTACTAATTACACAATACCTAAAAAACTCGATACCTAAACTAAATAAGACAATTTAGCTGGAATAGAGGAAGTAATTTATTTTTATTATACAATATTTTAGCTCAATTTTTAAATTTACAACTAAACAAATAAAAAAATTAAAAATATTAATTTAATATAATATAGTTAAGATTTTTAATTATAAGTATTAAATCAACATCGCGCTAAACTCATTACAAGCTCAACACTATGTCAACCAATATTTTGACCCTTTGATGTTAAAATTGGAACACTTATTTATGTTGATTAAGTTCTTTTAAAATAACATTACAATCCATTATTCATTGCCTACAATATTATAGGCACGACTTAGATAGAAGTTTGAAAAAATTATAAGAAAAATTTAGTATTTAACGAGATATGTTGTGAGAAAAAATATTTTATATTATATTTTTTGAAAAATAATAATATTGATAAGTAATACTCCCTCCGGGTCGTCACTCTTCATTTTCGTCCGTCCCAAAACAAAGTTATTATTTCCTAATTTAGTAACTGTACTACGTACCTAACATAATAAATATCCTTCAAACTTATACTATATTACACAAATGTCATTACTTTTATATTACACAATACTAATATAGGTATTTTCGTCTTTTTCATTACAACTCATTATAATATTAATATTTAAAAAAAAATTATATGTAAAAAATAAACGACAATCTTGCACTGGAACGGAGGGAGTATAAAAACTAATTATATAATTAAACCCAAAATTATTAATTGTGCAATGCAACGATAAGGTGCACGGCATAACAAATGGCCAAATTTGACATTTTCAATGAAGAATAATGCAAATTAATTCAATTTAATTCCTAGAAGTTTCCCAATATAGTGTTATCTTTAAATTATTATATAGTCCCCTGTCATATTAAATATAATGAACATAAATATATATGCATGGTTCATAAAATAAAGATCTTTTTGAATAATTTTGTCTAATACAAATATTAGGTATATAATAAATCTACACATTACATTTTATATATTTACGTAACAATATATTTATCCATTCACAATGCACGATTGAGTGTGTATTTTTATGTGTTTTGATTTTTATTATTGGTATGAAATGATTGTTGAATATGATATTATTATATATAAGTAAATTTTATTGAAAATTACAATAATATACCGTGATAAATAAAAACGAATACTTGAAATAAAATACATTCATAATAGCTTACAAAATAATAAAAAACAGAAAAAAAAAAAAAAAAAAAGACAAATGTGCCTTAAACTGCTTTCTTGGAAAATTGTGTATTCCTTATCACAACAGTCACTTTTGCACTTCTCGAAAAAAAAAAAAAAAAAAAAAAAAAAAAACACAAAAAAAACATATATATATTTTTTTCTTACAAAATATTCCATTAAACATATTTAAATACAAAATTTGAATCAAACTTTTCTAAACTAAAACAAAAGAAACATTAGTCCGTAGAATATGGTTGTATAGTTGGTAGTTTCGCATATAAAATACTCCCAGATAGCTCTACATCTTCGCCATCGATCTTCTTGATACGAATATACAATACTGTATACGCCACAATCGCTAGCAATGTTGTCAAATGCAACAAAAGCGCGACAAAAAATGTATAAACCATCACATGATGCGATAGCCACCGGTTCCGTAATAAAATCATTTTGCAACCACCGACAACAACCATAGAGAAAACACAATACGAAACATTGATCAAGAAACCATGCACCCTTTTGCCCTTAATCAATGTTGAAGCCTTTCCTAAAGCTTCAAGTCCCGAATAATTCTCTTCTGCTACTGAAATCACGATGGCTAAAAGCCATGGGACATTAAGATATAATAAAAATATATAAGCACCGATCCCAAATACAATTGCTACCATAATCGTAGGGGGAGTGTTATAGATCAAGAGAGGAGAGATGAGCATAGATGTAAAGACAAGACAAGAAAATGTAAGCAACCATATGTACAAGGTTGTAATAAGAGGCCTTGTCCATGTCCTCCGTATGCAACCGAGCAATTCTTTGAGCGATAATGACTTGGCGGAGTAGGAAGCAATTGAAACTATGATTATTGAAATCCCCGACAAGAAGGCGACCATTAAGGTTGCAACAATATAGGCAATTTCAACTATTAGAACGAACGATAAATCTTTTTTGAAACTAGGGTTTAGTAGGGGGAAATTCGAGTTTGTTTTGGGCGCAAATGTGGTAGGGTTGTTAGGATCGAAAGAAGTAGGATCGGGCATAAGATGAACAAGTATATCGGATATCAAGAAATCAATACAATAAAAGAGCAAGAAAGAAAGAATCGAATGCATAACAATAGAGAAAATTGCTATGAGCATAGTGAGCTTCCCATTTTTAGGAAGAAGCTTAAAGGATTCGATGAGTATTGCATAAAAACCAAAAGATGTCAAGTGCTCCATTGATCTTTTTGATCCAACTATTAGAGATTTCAATGTGTTATGAATAACAATGGAGATTATATATATATATATATATATTAATATTGGTTCTATAAATAATTAAATTTTGAAATGGTCAAATACCAACTTAAATGAACCAAGACAAGTACTGTGAATAAAAGTATACCATCAATGTGTTATCTAGTATCTACTATTTGAATAATAATGGAGTGTTTTTGTTTTCGTTTTTTTATATTCAATTGATTGATTATGTAAATATTTTATTTTACATAATATTATATCTAACTCATTGTTTAAAAATAAAATAAAATAAAATCAAATCAAATCAAATCAAAACCCTACAATATCATCCAAAACACATTCTATATATATAGTACCTCCGTTTGTATTAAAAAATAATAATATTTTATTAATCAGTAAAATTATATTTTGATATATTTGTCATTTGTATTTTATATATATATAATGATATATTTGAAATAAATATAAAAATTAAGAGTATTTTTATATTAATACATAATTATTTTAAGATAATAACAAATTGGTACTTTTGAGTATCACAAAAATAAAAAAAAAAATTATACTTTTTAGTTGGAATGAAAAGTAGTCTATTAATTCATTTATAATATTTACATAATTTTTGTCTATTTAATTCAAAAGTTTATATATATTTTTTAGTAAATATGCATCGTATTATTGACTACTAATATTTTTTATACATTTATTTACTAATTTATGTTTATTTTATTATACACTTATATGTAAAAGTAAATATAATTTGATCTTTATATTATTATATTTAGTCACTATTATTAAAAAAAAATACTAATATTTATTAATTTACTTGTTACAAATAATTTAATTAATATTAGAGTTAGACAGAGGAATTATATATTAATATTGAGACTATATACGAATTTGTAATTTGAAATTGTCAACTGTCCATGGTCAATAATATAAGTGGAGCAAGACACGCAATCGAAGAAAAGTATGCCATTATCCGATAAAAAATAAATAAAAAATAAAAAAATAAAAAAACAGAAAAGTATGCTATTAGTTTAATGCAGTACAATTCAATACTATGACTTGGTATGTAATTTTCGTTTAATATAATTAAATATGCAAAAACTTCATACTTTTACAATTCAAACCATGGACAATTCAAAACATAAATTTATAAAATGACAAGTTTGATTGTTTTTTTCTTTCCTTCTTTTTTTTTTCTTTTTTTTTTTTTTTTTTTTTTTTTAAAAGATAAAGCTTGGAAGGGAGCACAGCGGCTGAAAAATAATTTCAACATATAGTTGAATAGATAAAATTTAATTATATTAATTTATATCATTAAGTTATATATCTAATATAATCCTATTTATATAACTACAGCAAAGGGTGTTTGAGATTCTGTAATATCATATTTTTGACATTTTATTTTATTTTATTTTATTTTTACCGTTTTTATGTATATGTTAGTGGAACTACAGTTTTGTTATTCTTTTTCGTAGTAACTATATAATCCACTATTTTATTATATATTTTTTAATTTTGTATTTCTTTCTACAATTTTTAGAATATTGCTATTAATGATATTTTTTTTCTCCTCTTATTTATTATTTATAGCCAATAATTAAAAAATATTGAACATTGTGATTTTTTTCCTTCTTTTTGTTTTGAAACGGTTTTTTTCCTATTAGTTTTATAAAGTGGATAGTTTTTTCTTTTAATAAATTTTAACTATTTATCTATATATATATAGGATTTTTCATATATGTTTTGAATTTTTTCTTTTCAATTTATTTTTCAAATGTACTTTCATTTCTTCATCTATTTCTGTTTTATAGTAATTGATTTTCACTCATTCTAATTTTATTCATTTTTTCTATGCAGGAACAAAAGGTCTACAAACAGAATTTATTATTGTTGTTGGAGGATACTACTATTTGGACGCAGGAAGCTATTTTGAATTAATCTCGTAAGAATAAACATAAAAATATATTGAAATTATAATCAATATTGGAAGACAAAATTTAAAAATAAAATCAAACAAACAAACAGAACAATCTAAACAAACAGAACAATCTAAACAAACATATTATAATAAGAACATTAATCAATTACTCAAACAAAATAGCTTTCTGTGTCCAAATAGCAGTATCCTCCAACAACAATAATAAATTCTGTTTGTAGACCTTTTGTTCCTGCGTAGAAAAAAATGAGTAAAATAATTAGGATGAGTGAAAATCAATTACTAAAAATCAGAAACAAAAGAAGAAGAAATAGAAGTACCTTTGAAAATTAAATTGAAAAGAAAAAATTCAAAACATATATGAAAAATCTTATATATATATATAGAGAGATAAATAGTTAAAATATATTAAAAAAAAAATATCCACTTTATAAAACTAATAGGAAAAAAAACCGTTTCAAAACAAAAAGAAGGAAAAAAATGACAATGTTCAATATTTTTTAATTATTGGCCATAAGTAATAAATAAGGGGAGAAAAAACACCATTAATAACAATATTCTAAAAATTGTAGAAAAAAATACAAAATTAAAAAATATATAATAAAAGAGTGGATTATATAGTTAATATGTGAAAAAAAATAACAAAACTGTAGTTCCACTAACATATACATAAAAACTGTAAAAGAAAAAATCAAAATAAAAATATAAAATAAAATGTCAAAAATCTAAGATTACAGGGATCTCAAACTTGCTCAAAGTTGCTATAGTTATATAAATTACAGATATAAAATACATAATTAAATTTTAAAGGTAAATAAAGAATAACCAAAATTAAAATGAAAAATTTCTTTCAAAATGCTGGGTAGATGAGCTTTTCAGAAATTAGTTTTTTGGATCCAAAAAAACTCTTTCAAAAAGCTAATTTACAAAACACCTGAATTAGTTTTTTGACTGGTCAAACAATTAAAAGTTGTTCAATAAGTTAAAAGCTCTTCAAAAAGCTAATTTAGCTAATTTAGATGTTTGGTAAATTAGTTTTTTGAAAGAGCTTTTTGGACCCAAAAAGTTAATTTCTGAAAAGCCTGATCTAACCAGCGCAGAGCTTTTTCATTTTAATTTTGGTTATTTCTTATTTACCCTTAAAATTTTTTATACATATAAATATATTTTTATAACAGTATTTATTAATTATTTTTAATATATTTAATTTATTAAATTATTTTTTATTTTTTTAAATTTAAAATAATTTTTATTATTAATTATTACATATAAATTATTTTATTTGTAAAATATATAAATCTTTAAAACTAAATCAATAGAAAAATAAAGGTTATTAATTTATTTATATATATTAAAACAATAATTTTAACATAATAAAACTATATATACGAAAGATTTATTATTTTATATTTTACATAATTTATTGAAATTATTATTGTTTTTTATAAAATAATTTTTTTAAATTTAAATAATAAAAATAAAAATAAATATTTTATAATATTTTTATAATTTTCAATAATTAATAACAAAATTATCATAAATTTTAAATCAAAATGAACAAAATTAAATATTTAAAAAATAACATATCAATGTCCTTAATAGTCATTTTATGTATAAATCGTCAATATCAAACAATTGTTTTACCAAGTATTTGAATACAAATCGCTAATTGGATCAGCTAGTCAAAACAGCTAATTCAATCGGCGGTTCACTTTTTATGAGTCAAACTAGCTAATTCAATCAGCGGTCCACTTTTTATGAGTGTATAATAATAATTTTTATATATTATATTAACGTGTGTATCTTTATATTTTGTCAATTATATTTATGGACAATTGTTTAATTAAGAAATCCATTTTGAAATTTAATAAAATTAAATTTATTTATTTTATTTTTAGTATTAATTATCACTAATTATTTTAATCTTGATAAACAACAACTTATAAAAACATATATACACACATTAAATAATATTAATTATTTTCTATATACTTATTTTTTAATTTTTTTTTCTTATTTAATATAAAATACGTTTATATTTTAAATAAAAAACTATAAATAATAGTTATTTGATAAAATTGTTTTATTTTATTTGATTCTCTCATTTCCTTAATTATATTTTATATACTTTTATTATTTTAATATTTTATTTGGTGTTAATTAATTATATATTATTAAAATTAAATTTATATATTTATTAATTGGTTATAAATTTTATTGATAAATTCGATTGAAATTACATTTTTATTTTTATGTTTTTCTTTTTCTTTTTATGTTTCAATTATTTGAAATAATTATAATTTATATTTTATAAATATGTAGTTTGTTATTTGTTAAATATATATATATATATAAATAAAATATAACATTTATTATAAATATAATTATTTAATATATTTTTCAATTGTTACAATTTTGAATAATATGATTGTCTGTAATATAAAATTGAAGCATATAATTATTTACTATTCCGATAAATTAAAATTAAATATAAAAAATAAGCTTTATTTTTATTATTTGTACATATTCTAATGTATTATACATTAAAAAGAGAAGAATATATATATATATATATATATAAAGATAAGTAATTCTATTATTATTATTTTTTCATTAATAATTTGATTTGGATATTTTATTTAGATGTATTATTCAATCTTATTGAATTAGTATTTTGATTATCGAATAATTTTTTTATTTGGATGTATTATGCAAAACACTAGACTTGCATGATTTTATATATTTACATTGAAATTAAAATTAAATTTTTTTAATTTTTTATTAATAAATATAATTAATTATTTTAATTTTTTTTTTCAAATAAAAACCTACATTTAAATATATAAGTACAATGTAAATATTATTTTAAAATAATAATTATTTATACTTCATTTATTATTTTTAAAAATATTTTAATTATATATACACCCGTGCATAGCACGGGTTTAAATGCTAAGTATATATAATTAAGTTTTAACTATTCAATATCCATACTGAAATTATTTTTTTATCAGCACCACGTTCATGGTGATAAAACTTTCTCTACAAAAGACTTTTCACAGCA